TTATTTTAATAAACTAGTTTAGATTTAATTAAATTTTTTATAATTTTTTATTTAATGAATGAATGACAATGAACTTAAAATATTTTGAAATATATTTTAATTAAAATTAATTTTTTTATGAATAATTAAATTAGAAGTATAATTTTTATAAATAATTAAATTAAAAATATTTTTTGAAATCTTATAATGATAATTCTTTAGCGATGTTAAGTTAATATAATAAGAGAGTGATAATATAATACTTGAAACTCTAAGAGAAAAAAGTGTAACTTATTTTATATTTTAATATATGTAGGATGGATAGTGCAATATTTACATCTTTTAGAGAAAGAAAATGTCATTTATATATATGACGTTAAGTTAGATGGAATAAATTATATATTTTAACATAAAAAGGGTGTAATAAGAGTATTGTTCCCCTGTTTATGATATGAATTATTCTAATGTGTTGAGTTGACTAATAAATATTCATCTTAGAAATATATTTCAATGTTTTTATTATGATGAATATTGAATTTTTTATGTTTGTTCGATTAATAGGTAGTGGATATATATTTTAAATATTAACAAGTTAACTTTCTTATAACATTTTTTTTGAAAGGTTGTCATATGTTTACATATTAAATACACTTAAAAAAATAATTTTATCACAGTAGTAATAATGGACACAAAGTACAAATATCCAACAAAATTGATTTGTAAAAGCGATTACTAACCTAATAAAAAAATTTAACACTTTGAATAAACAAAATTTGATTCGTAAGAATGCAATAAAAAATAATAATTAAAGAAATAAATAGATTGATTGGGATTCATAGATTAAAAACCTTAGAGATATATTAAGCCTTTTAATATTTTTTGAAGTTGCAATTTAAGGCTGATTGTTTAGAAAGTTTTTTTTTTAGTTTTTTCTTCATTGACAAATTTTAATATTAAGCCTTTTCTTCATTTTTTGTTCAACACAAGTGTTCTTTGACTGACCTCTTCAAGTCACTACCCAAGTATTATTTTTTACAAATAAGTCTTTCCAAGTTCAATTTCAAGTATTCTTTTGCAAACAAACCTATCTAGCCTCTACCCTATAACAATGGTTATGAAGATATTATAAGATTGTTGTCATTGTCTCTTTTAGAAGTGTTTACAACAAAAGTTTAAGTTCAAGAGATCTTTTGAAGAATATTTTCTATGTACGTGGTTCTCTCTTAAGTTATATATGTTCTCTGTAACTACTATCTTTCTTGAGTTCTAAAGCTTTTTATTAGTAACTTCAAAAAAGATGACCGTTGCAACTTTTAAGTCTAATTCACTTAATTGATTTATCTTACTCCTTCATTTGATCTTGTGAGAGAACCTTAAATGCTTTAATTAATGTCTTTCATCTAAACATGCTTCTTATCTTTGATAAATCAATCTACTTATCGGAGCAGAGTAGCAAAGTGAGAATAATAAAAAGTAAAGTAACAACAAGAATGTAGTATTTTTTTCTGCATCTTTTTCTATGAGATCAAGGTTGTTTGCCCTTTTTTTGATGCTTTGTATGTCTTTATACACCTTTACTTTCGATATGTTAATGTATAAAATATTCATTTGAAAATTCACCACGTGTCGGTCATAATAAATAATAGACGTTAAGAATATGATAGACACTTTTGTATGCTTTGTTTCACAAATTCTACTTCGACTTACCAAGTCAAAACAACAATTTTTTGAAAATGTTTTCTCGTCGAAAGATGTAGTGTTTGTTATTATCAAAACTTACGAAAAATAAGGGATCTAAGATTATTTTTTGACTTTGCAATTTTAATTCCTCACATTTAAACTTTTAATAATTTGACATTCTATTATTTGTATATTTTTGTTGTTATGAATTGTTGTAATGTGTTTAATTGATTAACATTGTTAATGATATGAACTATTGCAATGTGTTGAGTTAACCGGTATGTATTCATGCTAGAAATATATTTCAATGTTTTCATTATGATGAATATTGAAATTATGTTTAGTAGATATATATTTTAAGTATTTACAAGTGCACTATTAACAATGCACAAAGTCAATTTATCGAACAAAAAAATTGTTCTGTAAAAGCAATTACCAACTTATTAA